AGAGAGAGAGAGAGAGAGAGAGAGAGAGAGAGAGAGAGAGAGAGAGAACCCAGGCTGGCCTTTGTCTTGCTATGTACCAGGTAGCTGAGGCTGATGTTGAACTGCTGACCCTTCTGCATACACCTCTTGAGTACTTGGATCATGGGGGAGGGGGACACCACCCCCATACCCTAATTAACTTTCTCTAATGCTTCATCTCCAAACACCTTTACACTGAAGATTACTATGAAAACATGTCCATTTTTAAGGATATACAAACATTTTCTCCAAACACATTTCTAGCATTTCTTTATTATATATTTCTGGTACTTGCTGTCTTCTTCCTGACAAACGGTAAATATTGTCGTGTGGTCAGCATGTGTGCATTACTAATCTAAGCTCACTCAATACATATTTGTGAATAAACAAAGGAGCCAATGTAAAACAAGTGGATGCCCTAGAGCTATTTTAAAAAAAAGACAGCGGATCTTGGCAATGAGCATGATGGTAGACTCTGTAGTGATCGTCTTAAGAACAATTTAATCATTTACCTTCCAGGACTGCAGAAATGACAGCAGCCTGGATACAGCTGCTTCCATGTGCTAATCATAATCAGTAAGCGTGAGAACCTGCGAATGGTTTGAGCACTCACCTCCCACCTTCCTTTCTACTGTTTTCTCTAGAATGGCCACGTGTGCTGCTCGGTGGATCCACAGTGCCTTCAGGAGCTGTGAAGACAACTGCCTCGTGGGAGATACCTGTTCAAAGAATGTTTTCTCGTTTAGAAAGACCAAAATAAATACATAAATAAATAAAAAGTGATGTGTGGTCAGGCGAATGCAACTTTGTTAACGGCTGGACGGACTAATGTGGATTATGAGATTTGTGAAGCCTGAGGAACGTCTCTGAGGGAAACTGGATGACACAGTTCTGCCTTTGCTGTCGCTGGGATCACCTTACGGAAGAACTGGGTGTGGAGCGCAGGCCATGACATCCTCACCCCTGGATAAGAAGCCTGAGCCCGTTCAGCTCTGGGAAAGCCTCTTGCTCCGCAGGCGCAGGCGCAGGGCATGTTCTTCCATCTCAGACTCTCCCTGAATCAGCGAGGTTCCTCACTGAAAGAGTCAAACGTGAGGCGGCGGTGGCGAGTGAGTTATATTTTCAGAATCCAAGAAGCTGATGCATCTGTACAGTGCACTCCGAAACCCGAAACAAGCTATTGTAATGATAAATAACGCACAGGCATGGTTACGTAACATTTTCTAACAGGAAAAATCACCCCCCCCCTCATTTCCTTGTTTACTGCACTTAATATTATTTGGTTGAATTTGTTCCGTAGAAGCTCGTTCTTGTGCAAAATAAAATAACTATTTCTCTTACCTTATGCCATGGGAGTCTGTGTCTTCCTGCGTGTTTCCTGCTTTTTATAGATGGTTTAAAATGTAAACTGATTTTTAGTTCTGGTGATAACTGATGACAAACGCTCACTGTGCTATTTCCATGTTGAAGGGTGATTTTCATTTAAATTCTATGCCTAATTCAGGGTCAAGGTGGCCGAATGCCTCTGTCCATCTCCGGACCTTCAGTTTCAGTTTCATGACCCCCGCCACCCCCAACACACACACACTGCAGTCTGGGGACCATCATACAGAAAGGGCTAATGGCTTCTCTTTCTTCTGGATTCTCATTTAGCTCCAATCACATTACACTAAGGGGACACTAAGAGCATCCGAGGAGAAGGTGAAAACTCTGCATTTTTCCCCAGCTGGGTGCCTTCCTACCAGATGGTCATTGTGATGAACTCTGACATTTTGCTGAAGCCTACATCTCTCAATAGGTGGCCTTTTCTACACAGTGACTCTCTTCAGGTTCTGAATCCATGCTTGCTTCTCTGTCTGAGAGCTGGAAAGACTCACTGCTGTATCCTTGAGAGATAACTGCTTCCTTACTTGCTGGCTTCCCTGTTTCAACACACATGCTTATAAATGGTCCCTTTAAACTCTTTAAATAGTCACATTAGATGCCATCTGTCTCCTACCAGGATTCTGACATCAAGAGAGGAGTGTGTGAATGTTAGGAATGCCTCTAAGAAGTCCTTCAAATTTTGATATGTATTTCGATGTATAAATCTATCTTAGGGTTAGAAGGGGCTATTATATCACATACTAACTTCATATACTAGACTCCCAAGTAGATGAGAGTTGTAGGCAGGCTGATGCCATTGAGCAAGCTAACGTCACATGGCTTTGTTCTGTGAGTTGAACTGGTACAGAAAGGAAGCACAACATTGTTCACTGCACAGAGGTGCTTTTCAGGAATGAAAGCTATGAGGCAGACAGGTAATGAACACTGCGAGCCACAGTGGGGACGGGGAAGCCACTTTCCGTTACCAACTCATCATTGCTGTGGAAAAGCCAGCGTGAGCCGAGAGAGACATGTTCACGTCTAAGAACTGTGGCCTGGGAAATATGTACATTTAAGTATCCTTCTATTTCCTGGGTTTGCCACAAATGCCTCTGTCCAGCATTCTCCTCATATTTAGTTTAAAGTATCATCAGAATACAAGATCTCTCTCTTTTTGTCTGCCAGGCTAGTCTGCCAAACAGGAAACTTAGTGTCCAAGAGGGTAGACATTAGGATGAAGGTTTTACGTACTTTTCATTACATATAATTGAGATTCTCTAATGAAGTCTTCTGAAACAATTTATTTTGCTTGCTTTCCTGAGGAGATTAACAAATGTGTGTGTGGGGGGGGTGTGGGTGTGTGTACACGCACCTGCTATACATCTACGGCTATATTCAATTGGTTTTTCATACATGCTGAGCAAGGCTAGAACACCATATCCTAAGTCATTTTTAAGTCTGCTTAGGACTATAAGCATATTGGTGGCTGGCCGATGCCCTGCTTCCCATAGGTCACAAGATGAGCAAAAACTCACAATACCAAGAAGGACAAGAGAACAGGAATGCCTCTTTAAGGGATGTTAATTCAGCAAATCCATTGTTCACAGTGATCACCCCCCTAGAGACTTACAAATAGCAGGCCCCAGGGAGATTATTATTTTATCTGCAGAGCCTTGAAAGCAATAATTAACTGTTCCTTAAGAACATCCTCTCTTTAAAATGAGATTGTTAATGCCTTGTTTCTCACTCTGTGATAATTGGAGAAGACGCCATGGTTGAGCTGTTCTGCATTCTGGGAATCTAAGAACAAAGTGGTGTGAAGGGGAGCTAACACCTGGCTCTTTAGAAGGAAGCACTGCTAACATTTCTACCAACCCGGGTAGTGCCCTTCCCTGAGATTAAAACAGCGCAGACCATTCAGATACGGCTGTCTCGTGAGTAACATTTGTTGAATTACATCCTTTTTCTCCCATTTTTAATGACTACCATGCCACCCTTTTGCTCTGCTTTCCACACAGGCAAAGAATCGTGGGTTTCTTTGGCTTTATGCCAGCAGCACACCCCCCCTTTCATCTTTCCAAGAAGTTGGACACCTCTACTATACTCACACCGAGAAACTGACTGCGTTTGCTAAAAGAACAGTGCCTCAACACTCTAGAGCAGCAGTCAATACTATAGATCGTTGGAGAACCGAGATTATTCGGTTGAACAAAGTTTAGGTCACACGCACTGAATAAAAGATGAGCTTCGGCTCACTAAGCATTACCTCATCTAGCCAAGCTCCCTGTTACTGAGGAGTTAAGAGCTCCTCTGAAGGGCAGCAGATCCCAGGCACGTGGGTGGTCCCAGATTCATTGATCTAGCGCGTAAGCTTTTCAGGCAATGGTTGTTTTCAGAGCTTGACTTGAGTTCTGTTTTTCCAAGCGCGGAGCACTCACTACACAACAGCAAATTCATATCCAAGAGGTTCGAGCTGAAGGGATCCTTGGAGGCTGTAGGGGGCTGCCCTGCCTCTGTGTACACTCTGCCCACTGTGTAGCTGGTCCCCTCTGTGGTGCAGAGGGTACCTTGTTTGATCCCCACCTCTCAGTAGTGGTATCTGTTAGTATAAGTCTGAACCCAGTGACGTCACATTCAGGGGCCAGGCGACTTCTACATTGTTACTGAGGCAACCACTCCCAAAATTCACCTGTCTCACTTACCTGCACCTGAGAAGTTACAGGTCATCACCCACTTAAATATTTGAGACCGCCCCAACCTGCCTCTCTTCCTCTTCTCTTCGCTTCCTCTGCCATCTCTCCCGCTCCTCTCTCCTGCTCCCCTCCCTAAATAAACCCCTTCCCGTGGAACCGGTTCGACCTTGTGTTGTCTGTCCAACCGCACTGGAATCTTACAGTATCCATCCTAGGAAGGAACTGAAACCTCTGCATAGTAAGCATCCTTAATAACACACCTGCTGGGGAGAGACTGAGGTAAGATGGCTCTGGAGCGTTCCATACAGGATAATCTGAATAACTATTGCTTGTTTTCCTTCTGTTTGCCAGGGGGCCTTGAAAAACTCTCCCAAACCTTAGTGTTTGTGCTGAGTTGAGTCATTTTTCGTAGATGCTTTGCATGACATTCCGAAATTCATCTTGGGTCCAAATGAAATGACAGCAAAATATGTGACTCTTATATGTAAAACACTGCATTTAAAGCATTCTGTCTTACCTCAATAGAACACTTGTGGTACTCGGTGCTTTGGTAAACAGTAAGAGATAAGACAATGACTATGTACAAGTTAGGATTGATAGTTTATTTTTAAATAATTTTATATCTCTATAATTATACTATAAGGATAAATATGGAGAAATATGAAAACAACAAAATTTTAATTTATTTTCAAGATAAAGGATCTTGGTTTGCATATATCATATGAGAATGTGTGACCCTATGGAGAAAATTGTAAACTCACATTAAGTCTCTTTTAGACACTTTATGCCAGATATGAGTCTAGGCACTGTGGAGAGGAGGCCTAGTGTGCCATCTTCCCTGCAGCAATGTAGAAAAGAGGGAACATCCAGATCCACTGTGAGCAAGTGAGGCTGGACCGTAGCATTCACTTCCTGTCTGCTCATCCAGCACATGCTCTTATTACAAGAGAAAAATAGGCACATGGTAAAAAGCACTTCACACAAGAATTTAAGTTAAGACCATGATTATATAGGCAGGGGAAATAGTACAAATGGGACACTCAGAAACCTCTGAAATAAAGTAATAGCAGAGGTGACACTTGAAAGAGGAGAGATTGAGCTAGCTGCCAGAGGTAAAGAATGCAAGCTTAGGGGTGTGTATACAGGCAGGACACATGCTGGACTATAGCTTGCACGAGCCTTGTAGAACAAGCAAGATGAACGTTTGCATGAGGAGAATGAGGTCAGAGCAGGAAAGGATGGTCATGCCGGGTTCCCCCAGACTACTGTAGGGGTGTACCTGTCAAAGAGCAGTACCACATTCTGACAGACCGTTGTAGCTGCTGTGTGGAGAGCAGGCAGGGTTGGGTGGAGTGTGGGAGTCAGGAGGCAGAGCATATTCATGTTATGCTATTTCTGACAAGATATTAATGTTTTGGACTAGGATGGTAACAGTGTGAGAACTGAAAGGACTTTAACATTCAAGAAGATTCGATTAAGTGAAGGACCAAGAGAGAAGACTAAATATCACAAAATGCCACTTTCCGTAGTTGTTACAGGAACAATAAAAAGACAATTCTTTCAAAGGTTACTATTATAGAAAAACAAAGGACCACAAGTAGCCAAGACAGATTTGAAAGAGACTTATATTTAGGGACAGTGGATACTTGTTCTACCACATACCCAGATTGTCAAAGAAATTAAATGTCACAAATTTTACACGTGTTACATATACATTCATATGTGTGTATAAAATAAACAAATGTTTTGCCTGACACATAACCAGAGAACATATAAATCAACAGCCACATAAAAGATGCTTGTGTGTGTGGTTATACATATGCATGTGGCAAGACCCCGAAAGCCACGCCATGGATATTCCAAAATCTCACACATATTGCAGTGTTGGGAGCCGACTCTGAGCAGAAAGCGGCTATCATCTTTACAGCCATCTCGAGCCATATACCCTGACAAGAGACTTCTTTTCAACAGCCCGCAACAGCTGAGCACACTCTGATAAACATCTTGTTTTTCTCACATATCTTGTTTTGTTGTTTAGTGCCACCAGCTGCAAGGTGCACGTGGTAAAGTGTCTTCAGCTGCGTTCCACTGTTTGTGCTTATATATACACATGATTGCCTTTCAATAATCGAGACTTGAACAGACTCTCTGTCTTGTCTCCATTCTTTATGTCTCTTGCCCTTCCATTCCCACTCTCTCTCTTGCTAGACCCTGACCCGCGGACCGGAGCAGCAGCTCGGGCTGTTGCAAAGTGGCCCCCAAACGAGGGGCAGAATGTGCTGTTACA